TAAGGGTTGATTCGACAAATAGCTCTAATTTTTCCATTCTGAACATTCTGTTGTGGAACAAATTTCGTCTTGCAGGTATTAAGAGATCTGCCATGCTCATTACGTTTTGCCTTAATCTCAATAATTTGAGCTCATAATATGATGTGTGATACAGCTGTGAATAAGCTCATCTCCCGTTTTGTTATCGTCCAATGCGAACACCGAAGCTTCTCATTTTAGCGAGCCATCATGACGCCACGTGGCCTAAGGGAAGTTTAATATGAGACTAAACCCGTAGTCCAACCAGTGCCTGTCCTTCAGGATGTGCAAGATGGAGTAGTAATTGAAACTAAGCCAACAGTTTACATAAGGCCCAGGTTTAGGTCAGAGGATCAAATTTAACAAAATGAATTTCGATAACTTTTCTCAAACTGTTATCTCATAAAAATAGATAGATTAATAAAGTTTATTCTGGTACCTAAAATGCTAGTTCAACTACAGACATCTCGTTTCCAGAATTTTTTTTATGAAGAAAACAATCTATTGTCCTTTTAATAGCTTGTGAATACCCAATAATGAATTATAGTTTGACCGTGACACCTGATTGGTTTTAGTATGCTTTAAAGCATAACGTGGGTGGGCTACTTTGCGAAATGAGGCGTGGGAAAAAATTAATCTGCGTTTAACGTCGAATTCTCGCCCTCATTTGTCACGGCAGATGTCTCAAAAGTAGTGTGAAGTCTGTCACTCGGCGATTACATGTTCCAACAACTGGTGTCACCATTGACTTCCCTCCAAAACTGGACGATCATTACTTATGTTCTCGTCATCACGGCCAGGGTGGTAATAAGTCTGTCAAACCCTAGGCTGCTCTCGCGTTATTTCTCTGTCGCAAACTGTCAACATTACGGAAGATGAAGGACACGTTAATTTTAAGTGGAAAGAAAGTTATTATTTTCCTAAGTGTCCTGAAACGGCCATTTTGACGTTTGACTTTCTTTGCCACACATCCGGATTTCACCCAAAACATGCGATTTCCTGAGAGATTCGAAATTTGTCGGATTCTAAATCTATGTTATAGAAGCCTGATGATGAAGAGTCGATATAG